CAGCTGAGCGGTGCCTCTGATGTTTAAGTGTGTACCATCATCATCAAACAATTCGGAATTTGCCGACAATTCATTATGTTTTACGATTGTCACTTTCTTGCGTAATTTCATCTTGTTGAATAAAAGTAGGTTAAATTCTTGCACATTATCATTCACGTTCTTGTTATTATGACGCTTCAATACATCAGAGATTACTATATTTGCATTTGGCATATTGTTAGTCGTAGTGTCTACTAGTTCAACCATTTGGTCAATGCATTCAGCGGGCGATTTCCCACTCATTAAATCATTGGTTCCTATGTGATATACAACAGTGTCCACTGACGGTGATATGAATATAGTAAGGAAGTAAATCTTTATTGTTATCGTATCCCATCTGGGATCTTGACATAAAATACAATTAAGTCAAATACATAAAGTATTAATGCACAGAACTTGAAAGGTTAGATATTTTAGCAGAATAACTTACAATAATATTGTATCTGGTCATGATTTGTGTATTTATAATGTCTGATTTGTTTAATTGTTTGAATATTAAATACCCTTGAATGGTTGTGCAGTAGAAATCAAATACTAGTAATGCTGATGCTACAACACTAATCACAGGCCCTCGATCTGTGCACTAATACACTCTACATGACATGGAACTTGCTTTTCTTTGAATAAATACCTAGGATGCAGTGGTTCAAGTTCTTGTATGCAAAACCAAGCATTATGTAAATATATTGTATTAAAGCGAGGGAGTCATCACATTTGCATACGTCAGATGGCCATAGCGTGTCCTTTGTCATTTACAAACAAGAATCTACCCATGAGCCTTTGAGTTTTTAGCGTGTGTTGTAACTTGTTATGGCCGCTTATGACTCAATTCTCGTGCGTGCACATGTGATGATGACTGTCCCTTGTTTTTATAAGTACCCAGGTCGATTGTGGTGAAGTGATGATTGACTATAGAGTATATAGATACAAAAGTGTGAGGGAGTCAACTACCCGGGGTAATCACATGTCATCATTTTCTGCCTGATTGACGCATGTCTTGTGATTTGTATAATGAAGGGAGGCACTATGCTGCCAATCAATTAGTCTTGTTTAATTTTGAATGATATTGATTCAATTTCAAATGAAAACTTTATATATATTTTCCTATAATCATGATTTTGTTGACTCCAATTGATTAATTAAATAAAACAAATGCTTGACAAAATGCATGGCAAAAAAAAAGTGATTGTGACAGTGCACAGTGTATTTCTCAAATATGCCATGTACAATTAGGTTTCTGTATTACTTACATGTGAAGACATTGTTTTTTCTCCAATAACTGTATTTTGTTGATTGTGACCAATTCCAGACCTACATGTAATGGACGTTGATGACAATGACTTGTCTGAACTCTCGGAAGTCCAGCCTTGCTTTATGGTAATGGACTCACAGCCTGATGAATCTCAAGTTCATGATTACCATAGTAACCATAGCTATTACCGGAAATCTTTGAATGCATTAACTGCTCTGAGTGTGCGACCACAGAGTCCTGTACTGGTAAGTATTTCATCAATTTTTTTCGAATTTAAATATGCTATATGATATTTTTGAATATCGTTATTAGATATGGCATGCTGGGGACGAAATGGATTATTATTTTTCGTAAACTAAAAAATATGGCTTTTGCAATGCACTGTATATTCATTTGAATTTGCATATTCATAGATTTCAGTGAATCGTTTACATATGAACTATTTGTTACTTCCCTTTTGCCTCATTGTTTGAGTCACTACAAGTAATATTATAATAATTAGTCGTAGCATTATAATAATTAGTAATATTATTATAGCATATATAAATAAATATTATAGATTTTTTCTACACTTGATGAAAATAAATGGAGAAAAAAGATGGCAAACAAATCAAGTCTGATTCACTACATGAAATTTAAAACTGGGATAAAGCATTGTGAACAATATTTAAAATCAGATGAAAATTATTAAGGTGCCCAGCTTAAATTCAAAGAAAGGTCATACACTCTAGGTCTTGCGTATGAGAAAAGAAAGTGGGCAAATGTCAATAGTGACTGTTCATGCTGCAAGAAAAGTGATGAAACTCTAGAACACTTTGTTCTAGAGTGTGAAAGTTACAAAGAACATAGGGAAAATATGATGAAAAATATTAGTCATATCCTATGTAAAAATGTTGATACAAATCTTTACAAAGATATTACAAAAGGTAAAGCGTTATTATGTTTCCTTTTTGGCGATAGTACCCAGCATTACAATTATGAGATATGTGAAGAAATTGATAGAGTTGTGAAAAGATTTCTTATTGATGCCATGGATTATAGAAAAGATTATGTAGATTACATTTATTTCCTGTATTTACTTTTAAGTTTAAAAGATCCATATTTTGTATTTTCTTTAAGTTTTAACTTATCTGTGTCTTTTCCCATTTATATAGTATGTTTTTTTTTAGTAAATTTATTGCAGCTCCTAATTACTAATTAGTGAGCCCCTGATGTAAAAGGGCACTCTTTCAATTATTATGTCTGTAAAATCATACTTCATGGCTATAATGTATCGTAGTATTAAAATACCAGCTTATAGTTTTGTCATATTTACTTTAGATTTGATGTTATTTTGTAGGGTTTGATAACAGCCACTAAAATGACAGAAGATGATGAACTTCAGCAAAATGAAGGTATTTACCATATTTTATGATTGACACCCTAATGCATTGTTTCATGTTTTGTTTACTGTCATCATCATATTGTTTCATACTCCATAACCGCAACAATGCCAGCTAAGTAACTGGCTATTTTGCTGTTTGTGCATCTACCGGTATATCTGATTAGAACTGGTTAGGTCAACCCCACATCTAAAGTAGACGTCAAATTGATACAGATTGACATATAGAATACAAATAAAAGATGCATCAAATTATTTTATGTTATACTGTTGTATGGCAAATGGTTTAAGTTGACTCAGTCTTGTATAAATGGTACACTCTCACTCACAAAACAATATGACACTGAAAGTAATAATGTGGGTACACTTGTATCAAAGCAAATTACTACCCCTTTTATTTTTTTTTGTAAATTTGTACAATTACACAACGATTTCTGTTACTGTCACTGAATTGAACAAGACAACGCATAGGAAAGATAGCTCAAGATGTAGCACTAATAGCAGTGAAAATGTCTTTATACGTGTTTTTTCAGGCCAGGCAAATGAAGAAAACCCTCAACAACAAGTAATATTTCAAGGTGATGGTCATAATGAGGGGTCAGATGGTGATGAGAATCACAGTAGCAGGTAGTTTTATAAATCTCAGTGTCAATCTCACTAATTACGTGACTGCTATTTAATTGTTTGTACACCAACTATGATATGATTATGATCTACATTTTCCCATTTCTATTATCAGTTCATCTGTGCCAAAGTTGATGAGACCATCAAGTCAGGCAAGTAGTTCATCAAGAAGAATTCAAATATCTGATGGTGAAAATTCTAGTCAACTGAGCATACCACCTCATGATGGTATGTATACTTTGTTGTTGCTATGGTATTTTGCTAAACTAATTTTGTTTTTCATCATTAGGTGGTTAAAGTCACATAGCTGTAAACTTTCTTAATTATGGCAGACTTTACAATGTAGGTTTCTCCCCAGGGACCTTGGTAGCATGCTACATACCGGTACTCAAAGTTGTCACTTTCTTTGTTTTGCCCACTGGCAATGGATTCGTTTTTAAACAGTACCGGTATATTCCAATGACTGAAACAAATATGTAAGGTTATTCTAGGCAAGAGCAGTGAAATAACTCACTGCCACACAGTAATACATGTTTCAATTGCTTTGAATAACTCAGAGGATAGGAGTGTTGATATTTGTAAGGGGATAAATATTATTCTCAGTCAGATAACTATTAACTATTTTTGTTTTAATGAATGTGGTTCCTTAGCTGTATCTCTGACATGCCTGACTGATCAGGTTCAAACTGAAATATATCTATATATATACAATGTACATCATACATCTTTTGACACATACATGTATGCATATGATATGTATTGTTTGACTGTCAGTCATCAATTGTTTCATGTTCTGATTGACTCATTTCACTCTTGTTTACATCAACTGTAGAAAGCATTGACAAGCATACCAAAATCAATAATAAAAAGGCGTTGACAGGCGATGTGTTAATTGTGAGATCAAGAGAAATGGCACTTGATTAAAGATGCCATTTTTTCAAATAACGTGTTTGATAAATTAAGTGTCTGTTTTCATATTAGGTTCTGGTCCTGTGAGTGACACAAGGACTCTATCAAATAAAACAAGTCCAACAAAAACCTGCACTTCTGACATGGATTCTGCTTCGGACATAGCTGTGATCAGAAGTCCATCTAAAAAATCACATAAGAAATCAGAAAAGGAGACTGAGTTTCCAGTAAAACCGCTGTCTGTGTCAGTTGCAGACTCAATAGCGGTAAATGAAAAAACTCAAGACATTGTTTCTCCACCGACATTGAGAAGAGAAGCCTCCAGTTTAGGTTAGTTTCAATGCAATTTCTCTACAACATCAATTTAAACATCCAAATTATTATTGGAAATTGTCACAGTTTAATTGTGTTTGTGAAAAATGTTAATTGCTACATTATTTTATTTTCTCTTGATGGTTTATATTATTTTACAGAGCATTAATTACGTAATTGATTTTTAAATATTGTTGATTTATTTTAGATAATACTAGTACTGATACAGTTAGTAGTACTTTGTATCCAGGCAGTACTATCTCTAGTAGCAGTACAACACTAAACTCATTCAATACTACGTCATCTGGAAGTCTTGATCATGAACACAGACGGTAAGATTATCTTTCTGTAAAGTACAAGATGGAGTCAGTGCTTCATTGGTGTTATCATCTTCTATGTAGCAGTTACACATTTATCAGTGTTCTTGAAATGTTGCCTATTTGTTTGTACAAATACAGTAAGCTAGCATACTGTAAAATGATTAATTTAAACTGGGTTTAAATTTCGCTGATTTACCATTTCAGGCATATTCAGTGTGTTTTAAATTCACTGTTTTATCAGTTATATAATATGCTCTATGCTACATTTTATATATTTACTGGGTTTTAATTCTTGCTCATTTTCCATTCAGCGAAATAAGCAAAATTAA